GGATTTTCCTGGACCAGGGCTCAAACCCGTGTCCCCTGCATTAGCAGGTGGATTCTTAACCACTGAGCCACCAGGGAGCCCCTTCCTATGTTATTTTGAAGCAAACCTTAGACCTTGTATTATTACTGAATAAAGTTTCAGGTCTCTCTATGTGTAAAAAGCTGATAAATCAATCTTCTTCTAGAAATAAAGTCGAATTCCTAACTCATGGTTTCCTTCACTTCATAAAAATCATCCTTTTCACATCACCTTCTGAAGTGTTCATCTTCCTAGTTCCCCTCTTTGCCCCTCCCCCTTCCTTCTTTTCTCCCTTTCTCTCTCCCTTTTCCCCTCCCTCTCTCTGCAGCTAATACATCTTCTGCGTATGGGGCCCCCACTCTTTTTTTTTTTTTAAAGAGATCCAGGTCTAATTTTCCCAGTCATAGTTTTGATTTTTTGATATACTCCCTTTTAATTGTCAACCACTGAGAATCTATTTTGCCAAAATGGCAGCATTTACTCATTTATAGTCCCTTTACGAGTTTGGAGAAAAAGATTTTTTATAAAATTCACAGTCCCCAGCCCCGCGGACCGCCCCCCCCATCCCCCTAGATAATAAAAACTCGCTAAACTAGTAATATGCACTGGCAAAATACAATGAATAAAAAGAATACACTTAGAGTAGTAACCAAAATTAACTATTGGGCGTTAGACAAAGTCTAAATCCCTAATGATACTGAAGACTTGTTTTTATAACATTGATAAGGCATTGAACTTTTATGTCAGTGAACCTGGGCCATGTGGATGTTTTCCCACAAAGCAAGCTGAAATTGTTTTGGTATCACTCATGTGTGAGAATCAAGCATGTTTCTCCCAGGCAGAATGTGACCAATTTTTTGGAGGGAGTACAGATTACTTGGACAAGGTGGAGGCAGATCTTTCCATAAAAGGGTATGATTACAGTGTCAGTATCAAATTCTTACACATTTTACTTGCTTTTATTTTGTTATCTGGGTGAAAAATAAATTTGTGACTCACACACGGTAACGGAACACAAATAACTATGACCAATCAACACCACTGACTTTTTGTACTTTTGGAAACCTACTATGCTCCTGAGCATTACAGACATATTTCTCCTCTGGGAAGTTGTAGGAGTTACATGTCACACAGCACCCCTTCGCTTTCACCTCTACCATGATAGTGAGCGTCACACCGGTCAGGGAATGTGGAAATTCTTGTAGTCTCAGCATGATGAAAGAACTTGCAATTGCTGCACGTTGGGTTTACTTGTCTAGACCAAAGACTGAAGAGAGCAAAGGCTTGCTGCTTTCCTCTCTGTATCTTAAAACAGCTTGTCGAGCTGACCAACAGTCAATGAGTCCCCAAGAACACTTATGAAGTGAGTAAATACAGAAAGCCTTTAGACAAAACCAGTAGCACACAGCTTACTGGAGTTCAGGTTCATTTGGCAAATTGGCCTTTAATGCCTCTCTTGTTCTTTACTCTTAGTGGTTCTTTTTTATTTATTTTTGGCTGTGTTGGGTCTTAGTTGTGGCATGCAGGATCTTTTCGTTGCGGGGCTTTTTGTTGTGGCGCAGGGGCTTCTTTCTAGCTGTGGTGCATGGGCTCCAGAGCACGCAGGCTCAGTACTTGTGGCACGTGGGCTTAGTTGCCCCACGGCATGTGGGATCTCAGCTCTTCAACCAGGGATCGAACCCACGTCCCCTGCACTGGAAGGTGGATTCTCAACCACTGGACCACGAGGGAAGTCTCCTACTCGTAGTGTTTTTTTTTTTTTCCTTCCAATTTATTTATTTATTTATTTTTGGCTGTGTTGGGTCTTCATTGCTGCGCGCGGGCTTTCTCTAGTTGCGGCGATGGGGGGGCTACTCTTCCTTGTGGTGTGTGGGCTTCTCATTGCGGTGGCTTCTTTTGTTGCAGACCATGGGCTATAGGCACTTGGGCTTCAGTAGTTGTGGTGCACGGGCTCAGTAGTTGTGGCTCACTGGCTCTAGAGCACAGGCTCAGTAGTTGTGGTGCACAGGCTTAGTTGCTCCGCAGCATGTGGGGTCTTCCTGGACCAGGGCTCGAACCCGTGTCCCCTGCACTGGGAGGCGGATTCTCAACCACTGTGCCACCGGGGAAGCCCTCTTAGTGGTTCTTGAAGGCATTTTTATTTGCCTCATGGTCTTAATATGATCACTTTTCTTATCACACCCCCATTCACTTCAGAATTAGGATTCTCAGCTTTTTTGACATGATACTAACACTTAACCTCTCTTAATACTCTTAAAATTGTGTGTTCTCATTTCTATGCCCAATTCTACAAGGTTTGACTTAAAATTGCAGACAGAGTTGAGTATTTAAGCCTACATACTACACATGATAAAGTGAGTAGAAACGTTTTCCTAGAAAAGTTTAAATAACTATCTCTTGGACAAGTGGTTTTAACTGGAGGTGAGAGATTTAAAGCTACTCCTTTGTATGGTCTTGGGAAAGCAACTATTTAGAAAAGTTGCATGTATAAATAATATTGTTCTAGGAAACCATACACTACTGGGGGCAGGCGAGTGGAGAGAGAAAGAGAAATGTTCTAACCAGACATTCATCCACATGTCTAGACATCATAGCACATTTAGATATTTAGAATTTTCAGTAGCTTATGAATACAAGAAGACTTATTGCTTTAAGGTAGGCTTTAGATATTTGACATGTAGCTGATATTTTCATAGTGTGAGAAATATCAAGCTGACATTATGCTTTCTCTGTGTTGATTACTTCCAAATGTCAGAGAGTAGTAACTTATTCATGGGACTTCAGGGCCTTAGGATAGTATCAATTTAAAAGACATTCATATCGACTTCTTTTTTATTTAAACATACTAAATGGAGTATGAGAAGCAGGTTAAGAAATCAATGAAGAAAGGAAGAGCAAAGAAGAAACCTACTGACAAGAAAATTTTAAATAGATTGATGTACTCTTACATCACCTTGCTGACAGCAGGCTTTAGGGACTGCCTCCAAATATTTCTGACAGCTGTAGTCTTACTGTTCCCATTATTTCACTCATACCACTTATACTGAATTTGGAAAATTAAAAATAAGATATGAACTACTTGATTTTTGGTCAATCTTTAATAAATAAGTCAAACAAGTAAATTAATATTTTCCTACCACTTTTTTTTTTTTTTTTTGCAGTACGCAGGCCTCTCACTGTTGTGACCTCTCCCGTTGTGGAGCACAGGCTCCGGACGCGCAGGCTCAGCGGCCATGGCTCACGGGCCCAGCCGCTCCGCGGCATGTGGGATCTTCCCGGACCGGGGCACGAACCCGTGTCTCCTGCATCGGCAGGCGGACGCTCAACCACTGCGCCACCAGGGAAGCCCAATGATATTTAAATTAAAAATTTATTCTTTTGTTCACCAAACTCTTTAGCAGCTAATTATGAACCTACTGATCTACTATTTTGGAAATAACTCAAAGGAGTTATTATTATTATTAAACAAAAATTGGCCACATCAGAGACAATTATGCGTTTAAATAAACCTTTGTCTTTCCAGTTATGTACACAGCAGTGCTCTTAATTGCTTGGGGTCACTGAAATCCCATGGCATCCTCTGAGAAGCATTTCTCCTGCAGTTTATCTTGTTGGATTTCCTTTCTGTTCTCGGAAGCCAGTATCTTTTCCTTTTTAAAATCTCTTTTTAGTAACAGTGGGAATGATGCTGATGATGGTAACATGAATCCAGTCTTCAAATCAGCCCCGTTTTCCTGACTTCCGTAGGTCAATGTCAGTAGTCACTGTGTAGCCATCTACATCCCTTATTTATCTCAGAAAATGTTATCTCTGATACAAACAAAAAATTGTGGGACTTCCATGAGCTAGACCAGCTACTATCTGAGGCTGCAAAATTTTAAATTGTTACCTGACAAACAAAAGGACAAGCCAAACATGCTGACTGACAGAACTATCACACGCAATCACTGTAACCTTGTTCACGAAACCAAAGTTGAAACAGAATGGATTGATAATTCTGTTACCCTATTGGAACTGCAAACAATCTTAAATTTAAGTACTGAGTTCAAGGATGAGCATTTCATTATTAAACTTCAAGAATCACATTGCTTTGTATGCATCAAATATCACAAAATAAGTAATACTGAAAAGCTAGCGTTTGCTACATTTTCATACTTTTTGTACCCCTAAAGGCCCAGGAGTTCTCCTGGCCGATTTCAGCAGGTCTGTCCCCTGTGAAGGTGGGAGACAAATGGGAAGTTATGTCGTTGTTCCCAGCACCCGGATGCATAGTTCCCCCTAAGGTTCTGGGTCACCCCAGTCACATCCTTAGAATGCCAGAGCTGGTAGGTCCAACCCTCCCCTTCTGCAACCGTTGTTAGAAGGACGTCCCAGAAACCCGGTTCTGGTCCAGAGTCCGAGCTCCAGTTGCCGCTCAGCATCTGGGGGTTGCTCCTGCCCCGGACGTTTTCCGGGTGTCCCAGACCGCCTGGATCGCTAGTGCCTCCAGGAGGGCGGAGAATCTCGTCTGTTCTGTTAACTGCAGTATCCCCAACACCTAGTTCAATTCTGAGCCAGACAGGGGCTAACCTCTTCTGGTCACTTCGCTGCTTGTTTTTTCCTCTTAACCTCCAAGTTCCTTTCAAGGCCAAGTCTGGGCGCGAAGGGCTAGTGTTCAAAGCCCGAGCTAAAGTTAGAGAATTTCGGGCTTTGCTGGGAGGCCTCCCTCTGTCAGGAAAGCAGCGGGTGAGCTGCACGGTGACCTCTGGCAGACACCACGGGGCCTTCCCCCTCGGACAGAAACCCCCCCGAGAAGGCGCAGAGCCTCGCGTCTGGAGTACTTGCGGGCGGGGCTTCTCGGGGTCTCCCGCCCGCCGCGCGCTGCGGAGACACGGGGCGCCCCCCGGTGGCAGCCCTGCAGCGCTGCTCGGGGCCGGCGGCGGCGGCGGCGGCGGCGGCGGCGGCGGCGGCGGAAGGGGAGGTGTTGAGCCAGCCGAGCGGCGCGGCCATGGCGGAGCTGGTGCGGGAGGAACTCTTGGCCCTGGGTGCGATTTTCTGCGGGCCCGACGAGTGGGAAGTGCTGAGTCGCTCAGGTGACTACCCCCGCGCCAGACGGACCGGGCGCCCTCTGCTCCCCACCACCAAGGCAGGGCTCCCCGCCCCGGGCCCACACTTGGGGGCCGGGGTAGTTGAAAGATGGAACGACACGCCCCGGGACTGGGCGTGTGTGGAAGCAGGCGGGAGAGTGCGGCGACCCCCAAAACGTGAATAGTATCGCGCCCCTGCTCGCTACTCTGCAGTGGACGGAGAGCATAATGCTCAGGCTCGTGCGGCCCGTGAACCGGTTCCTGCTTCCCGCGCCGCTCCACCCATTCGTCCGTCCCACCCTTCACTCTCCCGTCGCACCCGCACTCGCCCTTCCCTCTCCATCCGCCGTTACCCCCCCCCCCCACTCTGCC